CTGAGTTGGAAGGGACCCACAAGGATCATTGAGTCCACCTCTTAACCCTGCACAGGGCCATCCCCAAGAATCGCACCATGTACCTGAGATCATTGTCCAAACACTTCTTGAACTCTGTCAGGCTTGGTACTGTGACCACTTCCCTGGGGAGCCTCTTCCAGTGCCCAACCACCCTCTGGGTAAAGAACCTTTTTTTTAATATCCAAACTAAACTTCCCTTGATACAATTTCAGGCCATTCCCTCAGGTCTTCTCACTGGTCTCCACAGAGAAGAGACCAGTGTCTGCCCTTCCTCTTCCCCTCAAGAGGAAGTTGTAGACTACAATGAGGTCTCCCCTCAGTCTCCTGTTCTCCAGGCTGAACAGAGTAAGTGCCCTAAGCTGCTCCTCATACGGCTTCCTCTCAAGGCCCTTCGCCACCTTCATTGCCCTCATTCAGACACTCTCTAATAGTTTAATATCTTCCTTATGCTGTGGCTCCCAAAACTGCACACAAATTCAAGGTGAGGCCTCACCAGTGCAGAGCAGAGCAGGACAATCCCCTCCCTTGCCTGGCTGGTGATACTTTCTCTGATGGTCCCCAGGACACGGTTGGCCCAGGGCACACTGCTGACTGAAATTCAACTTTCCACTGATCAAGTCTGCTCTAATCTTCAGGAAAATACCTTTTCCCACTTCTAAATCTGCAGTCACCATGGATGATTCTAGAAGGATTGTATGTTTCTTTCTATCTAGCTATAATTTTTTTCTTGAGCTCAAAAGTGATGCAGTAAACTCTTCTAAGACAAGGATTATTTTCTGTCTTAAGTAGTACCTACTTCTCTTCTGGCTTTCCAATGTCGTTTACAGTCAACTAGCAATGAAAGGATAGTTTTGGCTGAAGTTACTACTTCAAAAAAATTCTGCCGAAACTGAAAAATATGCCTGGTAGAAACCTATCAGATATGTATGGCTAAGGGACAATTTACAGAAGTGTAATAGGGGACTGCTATCTCAGTGTGTGTCATGACAACAAAACTGTATAATGTCTAGAAGGAACATACTTATCTTGGGCAAATACCTTCTGTCCATGCTTTGAGCAGTGTCTCACCATGAACAGGTGGGACAAGACCTTGAACAACCTGGTCTAGTTGGAGATGTCCTTGCAAGTGGCAGAGAGGGTTGAGACTAGATGATATTTGAGGACCATTCCAACCCCTTAAAGTTCTATGATTCTGTGAACTCAGAACTAGCTGTATGAATATAGTTTCAACATACCAATTAATTCAGAGTAACCGTACTAGCAAATACCACTTCAAAATTGATCTTTTGTTTGCATGTCAGTTCACTGTATCTTATAATTGTCCAAGACTTTGTACAGGAGAGCATACCATAACAAGTTAGCCTATGCAAGTTGTTAAAGACACATAACACTTCAGGCAGCCTTGGAAACAAATATTTGGGGATTGTCTCTTCAAACACCATTGATTAGCAGTTCAAAGGAATGGATGACCTTAGGATTCACCTGCTTATCCCAAACACTTCTTACTATGAATTAAATTAAGCTGAAAGCAAATAGAGGTACACAGATACAAAATCCAGAAGAGGCCGTAAGAATGCAAGAATGGAATGAATAGAGAGGAGAAAAAAATAGAAAAGAAAATCCCTGCTTATATCTGTGTAACACATAGGTTATCTCTGAATTTTTCTGTTCTTATGATTCTGCTATCAAGCTTCTGTATGATTAGGGCAACAAGCAGGCAAATACTTCACAGTATTCATAGCTGAGGATCATGACTCTCATCCAACCTTTGCTTTTTCGGGCTGTATCATGGGAATAGATCTTAAACCCAGCTTATCCTACATCATCTTCACAGTCCAGCTAAGTCTTTGTTACATGATATCATCTAAACTCAACTTTCTCCTCCTTATATATAACTTTACATTAACCTAGTCATTAATTGTTTATTCCCTCTTTGCAGATGCTGATACTAGAGTCATGACCAAAAGACAGTTTTCTCCTGCTTAGACAAAGTGAGATTCATTTCACCTTGTTTAGACATTTAGAATGGTAGAAAGATGTAGAAATCTATCTCTTAGATACCTTTGGGTTCTGTTGTGAACAAAGAACAAAATATGTATTTTTAGGGAATGAGTAATCTGCTTTATTTTAGACATCTACATTCAGACAAATTATTCTATAAGAGTACTACTTCCTTTCAAGTGAATATAAAGAAACCCCAGGGTGGCTTACTGGTAGACATTTGCATTATTGGTCAATAAATCCTTATTTGAACAACCTTTCCCATGGTTGGTCAAGCCTTCAGCAACTTATTTTAGCTGTACAAAGCATAACATTCTTTCCTACAGGTCTGGGAAATGTTTAATCCCAAAGCAAATCTTTCTTGTACATGAGCTTCATAGTTTACGCTTTTACACGTTAATCCTAATTGTTCAAATTAAATGATCAACAGTTGTGCATTCAATAAACTACAGGGCTTTGATTGTAAAGAGACACAATAGTGACCTGTGCTATTGTCAGATCCTGTGCTGATAAATAGAGTGCATTTCAACACCTTTCTTGCTTCAGTCATTCTGTGCCTCTTTGTAACTGTGGTTCCTTCTGCCTTTTCTTGAACTAAAAGTAGCACAGGTTTTCTCCTGCTTTTGGTCATAAAATTTGCACTCCAGATAGTTTCACAAAAAGAATCTGGTGCTTTATGTGTAGTAACTTCAGTTGTCTTGTTGTTATAGTGTGAATTGCAGCTGCAGCTGTTATCTATGTTGTGTCTTTAACTGTCATGTAAAGTTTTATATAGAAACACAACCCAAAAGATATTAAGCTAAAATGTCAGTATACGAGGAAGGAGCACATGGAAAGTGTAGCAGTGAACAATTTTTCTGTGAGTTTAAAATAGCATCCACATCTTATCTTGGGGAGAAGAAACGAGAACTTAAAAATATATATATTCAGTTTTTTCCCTTCTCCTTTTTGCTGGAAATTACTTTTATGAAATCTTATAACTGAAACCAACTTCTTCCTCAGATCATGTTTTTCATCATAGCTTGGGCATTTCAAGAATATCATCACCTTCCACTCCTCTGAGAATATGTAAACCTTGGTTGCAACTCACATACCAGATGAAGAATTTTATGTGAAATAAATATTTTTAAACCAATTTAAAGGGACTGAGAAAAATGTAAAGACAGTTCAGAAAAGAGCATAAAATTAATTTAGATTTTTTTAAAAAAGCCTTTGCAGATGCATTAAAATTAGAGGTGAAATGCTAACTATTATCAGAGAGGGCATCTGGTTGTAGGAATTGGTTTCTAAATTTAGACTGAGAAACATCCTCATCTGTAATTTGTAATTCAAGACAAAATTCTTGTCTAGAAGATATCACTCTGAACATCCTCCACTTCCTTCCTCTTTGCCTGTTCTGTATGCTGAGCATGACACCATTCGGTATGGAATATCCCTTTGGTCACTTGGGATCAGCTGTCCTGGCTGTATCCCCTCATAACTTCTTGTGCACCCCCAGTGTTGATGGGGTTAGAAGCAGAAAAGGCCTTGACACTGTGCAAGCAGTGCTCAGCAGTAACTAAAACATCCCTGAGTTATAAACACTGTTTCCACCTGCACAAATTCAAAACACAGCTCCATGCTAACCACTATGAAAAAAATTAATGGTAAGCCATCCAAACCTGGGACAGTTAGTTTTAATAAATCTGGTTTATGTATGAAGTTATACTAAAGTCTTGTACAAAGAGCCTGAAATTTGGTATGACTTAAGTAGCACTGCTCATAAAACCATAAATGATTTTAAATTCTGAAAATACGTTTAATTGCTGCATTGAAGAATTATAGTTTTATCAAATATTTTACTATATTGCATTCAAATAATCATTTAGAGGTTAATTGAGCGGATACCTGTGGTTAATCTTTGTTAATTTGGAAAATTACAACAAATAATTTACAGTTATTTTAAGCCTAACACTTTAATCCATGAGGAAATATTCTGATGAGATTGACCATTACTTTTGTTATACAAAAAATTAATTTTAGATAAAACTAGTGTTTAAATGATGAAAGGAATTATATTTGTTAGCAGCTGAATTAACTTTGATTCCACTGTTTTACCAAAGGTCATAGAGTTTAATTGACATTGATGAAGTCTTATATTCAAGTGACCTATAGTTGACACTAATAATGACAAAATCTTCTTTCTGGAAGAAGAGGATTACTGTGGTAGACCTTAAATAACTCAGCATTCTCAGTGAAATGACCTTGTTATTTGCATTATTCATGGCATTTCTGATCGTAAATATAAAGGAATATCAAGAAATAGTGCTGACAGTGAGATGCCCAGATCCCATGTAGAACTCACAAGCATTTAAAGGAGCAAGCAGTCGACATAAGTGTACTGCAATGTCCTATGGCTGTGCATTCTGGTCTGAATAAATTTCTAGGAACATTTCTGAAGCTTTTAGTATCTTGGGTTGGGTTTTTATTATTGTTCTTTGCAGCTTCTTTGCTATGTTCAAAACTTGCAAGAAATAGAAATTTGTAAAATGCAGTGAAGAGATTAATTGACCAGTGGGAAGAAAAGATATATTTGTATGCTTGTGTGAACACACTTTGGTAAATAAATGACAGAAATACTCAAAATATCATAATTTTAGGTGCAGTAACAGAACTTAGTATCATAACATCATTGACCCTATGAGAGAAACATGAAGGGAGGTGCTGAAATTTTACAGCATATGACAGGAAGGAGTAAGGAAGCTGGGAAAGGAAGGAGTAACAGTGGTCGGCCTTGGGGACTCATTCTGTACTTGTTCAGTATGTGTTGAAGAGATACAAGACCTTGCAAATCTTTGGGCACTGCACAAATTTTTCTTGTGTGTTTGTTTAACCTTCGGACCAGATGTCAGCAAAGTCAATAACATGTGCTTACCTCACCCTGTACACGTAGCAGTAGCGTTCAACACTAAAACACCTATGTCTTCCTTGTGTCTATGTATCATTAGCATATCACTTTACTGCACTTTGTTTTAAAAACAGGGTGGGGCTGAGGGGTGGTGAACCAAACATCATATTTTGTAAAGCTGTGCTTCTTCTTACATCCTAGAATATCAAGGATGTGCTGGAATACTTAGACATTCCAACATTTTCAGGATTTTCTCTGTAGCCAGAATATCTAGAAACATAAAAAAAAAAAGGTTAACAATTTCAGATGATAGCTAGACGCTAGTACTGTTTATTTAAGAAACCATTTGCTATAAAAGTCACATAAGCTATGAATATGAGCATCCATATGCTTAGATGCAAATTACTGCTCCTATGGCAAATGTCTCTCATGGTCTTACTCATGCAAATGAATTCAAAGTGAGTTTTGTTGATGACTTAAAAGGGGACTAAGAACCTATCCTCCAGAATAAGTCTATCAGCATCTTTACATTTTAAACCTATATGCTCATCTCCCAGAGTTAAGCAAACTGATGCACACTGTCTACTTGGAGCCTAGAAGTTAGAGTTAAATCCTGTACAAGAGATCAAGCCCAATTTGTTTGAAATATGCCCTTACTGTGTAGTCTTCAGCATAAAATCTCTACCACCATTACCGCAGAGTCTCAGTTTGTTTTCTGTTCCTCTGTATCTCCTTTGCTCTGTGTAATCCATAGGTATAGACAAACATGGAAGAATAAACAGCCTTTGGGGAATGGCTGTGTTTTAAAGTGGGCAAGGAATCTGCACACTGCAGTGCATCATGCTGTGAAAATAAAAGAGTATCATATGAAAGATATAGGTATAGGTTCTGAAGTACAGTACCCATAGAAGGAAAAGCAAAGAATGCTGTTTGAGGATGACCTCGAAGTTAACCCAAAGAAGCAATAGAGAGAGAACCTTAATCTGCACACTGCAAAAGTAATTAAGGTAATATTTTAAGGCACCTTCACTAGGACCTTCATTTTCACAGTATGTTAGTGTCTGACAAATGAAACAACTGTGATTTTTCTGGACATCATTAACAAATCTTTTTTGTGTAAAACAATGTTGCATTGTTCTATCTGAAAGGAAATCTCAACAACTTAGATATTGATAAACAGTAAGATTTGTCTGTAAAATGGCTTAACGTAATTAAAACTAAAATATTATATTGCAGAGAAAATTCTAAGTGTGGAAGCAGCAGTCTTCAAAATTGTAGCAGTTTGATATCTAGTCTGTCAGACAGAGGCTGATAAGGACTTTTTTTTTATAGAAGAAAATGATGCATTCAGATAAGTGTATAGATAGATGTAACATTTTGAGGTTACATTCATCCCATACTATTTCCCTGTCATGCTTAGTTTACCAGCAATACTACAAATTATTTTTCATTTGTTTTCTGTTATTCTTAGCCCTGGAGGGTCAGACTACTTTATGAAAATCAAACTCTATTGTCTTCTCAGCTCTATCTATCGCCATTCTGAAATTGCCAACATGACGATGATCCTGATCATACTGGTTTTTATTATCAGGTTGTTTTTGTTTATAATTTATGAAGCAAAAGGATACTGGGGGGGTTTTGTTTGCTTGTTTTCCTCTCCATAAGCTTCACTGATCCTGTAGGCCTGAGAACAATATTAATTTTGACTGGTAAGCTAAATAAACACAATTTTGCAGTCATAGGTGGAGAACACTTATCAACACCAGGGTGTCACTTTGAAGAAGTAACTTTTCTAACCTAATACTTTGAAGTTGTCTTTCTTTTCCAATAGTGAATACAATGCATTGTAAATCTCAGGGTAGATTCAGCCATTAGTGTTTACAGGTTATGACAGCAGCATGCTTCAGTTTTAGGGCAATAATTCTGCTTTGGTGAATGCCTGCTCATTTTTTTTCTTTTATGTCTTTTTGTCTTGTAAACCTACTCTTTGGCTTACTAGCAGCTTCCTGAGCTGCAAATATTTGTCACTCAAAATGTTCATTGTCAAACACTGTACTGACTTGGCAGACAGAACAGCAGTGTGTTTTCATGGGAAATGCAAGTTTAGGGAAGTCAGAATCCCCTGGACTCAAAGTTGGCACATGCTAAAACAGAGCTTTCTAGGAGAGGAATTATACAGTGTTTTGCAAGGAGCTGTGAAATACTTATTTATTCTGGAGCAGTAATAATCTTTCACTTCGGACTAGGTTGCAGATCTTTAGTCTGAAGCCCTCTGGGTCTCTTAAAAGATTCTGCAAATCTCTTACTAATAACCTACATACTCCAGTGACTCTTTCTTGTGTGTCACTATATATATATAGATGTCACTAGATAGATAGATAGATAGATAGGTGTGCTGACCAAACCCTGTCATGAGCAGGTGGATTGGGGTCAAGGGCTGGCATAGTTCTCTTCTCCTTGAGAAAGATGATGGAAATGAGACTATAGAGTGTGACAGAGAGAGAATCCAGGAGAAGATGGAGTGCTGCCACTATGACAACTCATGCTGCCTGTAGTGCTTCTGCTATCCCAGGAAGCTCTTGGCCTGCTGCATATTGTACAGTATTGTATAGGAGATAAGCTCCTGTGAAACATTAGACTAAAATCTCGTGACTGTCAGACAACTCTTACGTGCATTTGCAGAGAATTAATTTGCAATGGGGAGGAGGGTTGACATCTCGCTCATCTTTGCTAGTAGAAGAAAGTATTTGACTCATCCATTAGTGTTTATTATCACAGCAAGGACCAGGCTACACGTGCACATCTACAAATAACGGCACACACAGGTTATAAGTTCACTCAGCCCTTCCTCTGAGCTGTCCGAAGGATGTGTGACCTCACTGTGCCTAGTTCACTGGGATGCAATTTCATGTTAAATGTAACTACAAGATAAGACTGGATCTATATGCAAGCTTGTCATCTCTACACAACATAGAGCAAAAATGAAGATAAAAGTGTATGTGCTCACTTAGAAAGTGAGCAAAAAACCTGTGCCTAACAGAATGCTGTTGTTTAATTTTGGATAGCAAGAAATTAAGTCTTTGTCCTTGGTAGGGTCACAGCTATTCATAGAGACATACAGAAGTGGCTGGACTCCCTGAAGACTCTGAAGGTCAACTGGGAGAGACATATCTGAGTGAACAGAAAGGTAGCTGAAGTAGTACAGAATTTATCTCATCTAGCTGCTTATCTGTTCAGGGTGAGGTAGGAAAAGATGGTGACAGGAGACTGTAGTATCATGGTTTCTTGAGCTTACCTTCCTTTTTTTTCCATCTTGGCCGTGTTGGTAGGAGAATCTTCTCTTCCCTTTTTCCTTCATACTTGTGAAAATGGTCGTGTTTCCATTCTACTTTTCTGCTCTATCCGTAAGTGCATCATTTGATAAAGAAAAGGTTACATCACTTACCTTAATTGGAGCTGTTGAAACAAATATGGATAATGTAAAATCAAATGGTAAATGGAAAGCTTCATTCTTTCTTTTCTTCCCCACTGTATATGGAAAAATTTACACATTATGACTCTTAAAAAGCCTGTTTTCTAATGTTTAAAAAGCTAGCTGGTGCTACTGTACAGGAATTTTATGTTTAGCAAGTGTGCACTTTATTTTTCAGCTTCAGTAAGCAAACCAATATTTCTGACACTGAAAAATGTGTCTTTAACATTGTTACCATACCTTCTAAGTGTACAAGTTTGTTATAGCTATCTTCTCATTTTTTACATTGGCCTTCTTTGCCCTGGGTGAAAAAAAATAGAGCCAGTAATGACATGTATTATAAAGATTAATCAACCATAAAGACTATAATTGAACACACAAGTGTAGTCATTACTTGATTAATTACTTCAATAAAATAATCAGTCTTCTACATACATCAGAATAATATTCAGGTGACTAGAAGAGAGTGTGCAGAGACCAGGACTGCCTTCAATTCCTACATCAAACAGAATTTTCTACTTTTCCTTCAGTTTGGTTGCAGAACTTACTTTTATTTGAGTGTTTAACTTGAATCAACTTGCTCATGTTCACAGCAGATTTTTTCACCCTAACTTTAACCTTAAAAATAGATACTGAAACCTCTTATGTGAACTTTTATATTGAATGTTATGTAGTGACCTTATAAGCCTATGTGAAAAAGTCATTTCTAAGGAAGTATGTAGAAAATGTTACCCCTGTGATTTAGACTGAAGTTCATAGACAAAATTGCTCCATCTACTAGATTGAAAGTGCTATTCAGTGAGAGACTCTTGTATGCTGAAGTTTTCTTTCCTAAAGTATATTTCCTAAAACTGAAACTTGGTAGTTTGTATTGCAGTGCAGAAGTTCATTTATTGCTGCACATAGAGGGCTCTACTGGATCTAAAGCTTCACGAACATATGTTTTCCTGTAACCTGTAAGGGAAAAGTAGAACAAGTCTGCATATTCACTAAAAAGATGAAGATGTAAATCTAACTCAAATGATTTTGAACCTAAGAAATTATATGTGCAAGTCTTGATGCTTTAGACTGGGAGATGTTCTGATATCAATTGCTGTTAATGTTTTTACACAAGGAAGATGAATTCATTCCACAGTGGTTAACTACAGTATGGTGGTTAACTAATAGTATTAACCAAGCAAGCTGAAATTGATATTATAGGGTTCAGTGTTTAAGCCATGGTCAAAACAAGTGAGCTTTGAAACTGAAGAGGAAAAGCAGCCCATGATGGTTGATGCTTAATGCTAAGACTTCACACGAGGGTGTGAACTGGCATTTTAGAGGCCATAGTAATTAACTTATGTGTGATTTATATTTTGGTATTATGGAAGAAAACATACATGCCTTCTGCAGCTGGACATTGTAATGTAAGCCTTATTTGTGTATATTTGGAAACTCAGTAAATGATTTATCTATGTCTTTAATAGCATGGACTTCCTGATGTACTTATTATAAGTTTGCTATACCTCTGTCTAAAATGCCCCGTGCAGGGAATGCCTTGGTTAATCATTACAAATAGTAGTGTACTGCACAATACCTAATTTTCAGTTGCTCCTGAATCTTTTGGAACTAGCAAAACATGTTTTGTTTTGGTTTTGGTTTTTTTTCATTGAGATGACTGTAATTGTCAAGCTTTCTACAACAAGTCTGTTTTTTTGAGTTACTTAAGCACTAAACAGTGCACACTTTTCTAAGAATTATTGATTATAGCACAGAAAATTTACACACTGCTGTACATTGATGTGGTGCTTCAGAAAGCCTGAAACAATATGTAGAGAAGGTGTATATCTATATTATTCTCCATTTTTCTTATTATTATTTAGGTTATTTATCCAAAGAGGAGTAAAGAGTTAGTTCAGCTAACTGTTATTGCTCAATCCTGAGAGATATCTGTGCAAACTTTGATAGCTGAACCTGTTCTCCTACAGCATTGTGAAATTCAGCGTAAGTGAAGTTGCCCTGCCGAGACAAGTCCTCAGATGAAAACTGAGGATGCCCAAACTGCGTAAGAATGTGATTCAGCTTCCTCACAGGCTTGGTCTTTCTGTGGTCCTGTGACAAACCTGAAGAATCTGCTGAGGAGGATTTAATCTTAACTCAGTGTTTACCCTTGTTTCCTGAAAATGCTGATTTAGACTAATGTGATGATGTGGGAAGCATCCAGCGATTTGAATAATATGACATAGAGAATTCCCAGTGTATTCCTTATGGACCATCCAATCTCTGTTGCGAATAGAT